GGCGTCTCTTCTTTTTCACGGAATTTCTGTTTTTCACGTTTGCATTCCTGGATGAACTTCCATATGATTCTTCACATTGACCCCTGCAACACATGGCATTCCGTCATTGTCTGCCTTCTGATTGCCTGGGAGATGGGGATTAATTAAAGAAGGCACAACTTTATAATAGTGAAGTTATTTATATCCAAGTAAAGGCAATTTTTCCTATTTATTCATAACTTCATGTGTTTCCATGTATTCAATCAAATATATGTGTATGTACATATATAGTTAGTTAAACTATATATATATAACACGTTAACAAACTTCCAGCCATTTAAATCATTTTAAAGCATGTAATTCACGAATCTCAACCACATTCTGAATGACTTTAAAAGAATACTTTTCAGTTGTTTCTCTTGGAAAAACATTATATATCCTTCATTATACATATTTCTGGAGTACCCCCTGATGAAGTGGTGTGGGGACCAAAATTGACCTCTGCTGGCTCCCAAGGCTGATTGCCACCAGGCAGAGGTCAGACATGCCTCCAACCGCCACCCCCTTTTCACCCCATTTTGATACCAACCATCTCCCACAAGATTCTACTTCTATGATCATTTATTTCAATGGCTGCACATAACTCACAGACAATGCTTATGATTGTCATGTTTATTGGGGAAGTTAGCAGATTAAAATTCAGGTGAAAAATTCTCAGGTTACAGTTGTTCTGTCGGGACCGTTTCTTCTCTGCCAAGCTTGCAGGCAGGCCACTCCCTGTCCCTGGGTCTCTTGGGGCCTGGCCTCTCTCCTGCTCAGGCAATGTTACAAAGCTCTTTTAGAGTTGCCAATAAATGCCAAAAGGGCATCCTCCCTGCTAGAAACCTCACCTGAAAGGCACTCAGCTCCAATTACTTGGCCAGAAAACCCAGCTCTCCATATTAAGTGCCCAGAGGGACCGCACTCTACAAGCTAGCCTCCTGCCCCAAATTACTCATCTGTACTTGTTCTGTGGGCTGGGAAGTCCACCGCTGTGTCTCATGCTCTTCGCCCTGTGTCTAACATCACTGCTCTTCCTCCGCTCCTCTGGTGTCACAGCAGTCTTCCTGGATCAAAGAAGTCAAATGTGCAGGGATCTCAGGGTCCATATGCTACGCTCTGCTCCTACTTCAGAGAGTGTTCATCTTATACCCAGCAAGATGACCATCATAATTAGTCCTATTAATAAGCACGTACAGATGACTCATGTAATACAATAAGTATCTTTCCCCACTTCTTCCCCAGACCCATCAGGGAAAGGTCATCTTTGGGAATAACAAAAACTAACCATGGCTAGAAGAGCCATCCATAACCCACTGCCATAACCCAGACTACCCCTGGCCCTTCTACTCTTTGTTTTTGTTACACATGAAGGATTAATTCCACTTCACTCTCAGTTATTTTACTTGGACACACCCAGCACTCTGGGATGACAAGAGTGTTTCATCCAACTCTGGTCAGGGACTTCAGAAGTTGTCTCAACTTCACTCTTCCTGTCCTCTGACAAAGTTTCACTAAGACAAGATTGCTGCCTAACCCCGAGCCCCTCTCAAGTCATAAGCATATTGGTAGATTTTCCCTATTGCATTACCTATTTGTTCGCTTCTTCTCCTTCAAAAATTGTTTCTCCTTCCTTCCAATTTTCATTTATTGTTATTCAAACCTGTCCGCCTCCGGAGGGGACACCAGGGTCAGGAGCTGTGCCTGTCCAGAACGCTGGTAGCAAGGACAGCCTGGCAAGTGCTTCTCCATTAGTCCAATCCCATTCGTGTTGGCTGGGGTAACATTGGTACAAGACCAGTGGGCTATCTTGACCATGAGTAGTATTTAGTGTACGAGGCAATATGACATTATTTACAGTCAACCCTAATTCTGCCACACAGCGAGATGGTATAATCCATCCATCCCATTCGGCCCTTGAGAGGTCTGGCATATGGATTCAGAGGTATAGTTTCTTGCTGAGGAAACACCCCTGCTTCTGGCACTTGCAGTTATATTCCTGGTCCCAGGACCCGAGTATCTGCAGGAAGAGAGCGATGTCCGGTGATGTGGGGAAGAATTATACAATGGTGTCAACATCTTCCCCCACCTCCTCTTCCCTAGACCCACCTGAGAAACACAGGTATCTATCCAGTGATGGCCTCCCTTTGTTGAGTGTGAGCACACACTTCTGAAGATGTGTAAGACAGCCTTTCAGGCCTTTTAAGATATCTCCCTCCAATTAAGATAA